TATATATAGTGTCCATCTCGTTCGGAATTGGGCACAAACCGATTGGTACACACCCTTACACACTCTCCTCACGACACCTAGACGTAAGCTGTGTATATGTGCTCAAATGTTCACATACCCAATCCAGCAATAGCCGTTGTTGCCGAGAATCATTGACACTCCACACGGCAAAACATTCGCTTGTGTCTTGGTCCGTTTGATGAATGCGGGCTTCGCTTTGTAGAAAGTGCCGTACTTCAACTGTGGATAGTGTTGATAATGCATAGATAACAGCCGTCGCCAACTTTTAGATGTGTGCAAATAGAAGTTGATCAAATCGTAGTTAAAATTAAATTACTATCATTTATAGCTAAATTACAAAAAAGTTTTAAATTCAACGAGTATCATTAATAGCAAAATTACATAATTAGTCAAATTATTATCAATAGTTAAATTACATAAATAGTCTATCAGTCATTGGCACTTTGATCCATCAATCTCGGGACTGTATATCAACAGCTCTACCAACGTCCGAAAGTATTGCTAGTAACAGATCGTCCTGATGCGACTGATTTTAAAGTTAAAAATCGATTCGGCCAATTTAAAATCAAACCAATCACAAGCCATCTGACAACCTCTATGAGGTCCTGTCAGTACGACGGCGCTACAGTCACTTACGCTGGCAGAGTACTTGACCCTATGAAGCGCTGAGGAGCCGTCCTGATATAATGACTGTACCTCCGCCTGTGAATGCACACATGCACAGACACAACACACGGAACGAGAGTTAGTCTTATTAGTATGTACTGATCTAACGGAAAGGGACAGGTTCAGGCTAGCTGCTGTAGAAAAACCCTAAACCTTAGAAAAGTGCATTAAAACGCACGACCATACACACGCAACGGGTTCAAGACTTCGGATTCAAGAAGTGTGATAGTAAACCACGCGAATCGAATAGAGGCCACTACTAGAGCGCACCCAGTGAGAACTATAGGGCCAAAGGCAGAGCAGAAATAGAAGTCTTAAGTTGCGTGCAAAAGCAGGTGCAGCAGACGAGCCATAGACACGAAAGAGGACAGGAGACAGGAAGTTTTAACGAATGCGTACAGCCGTACAGCGTATATATATATGTATATACATATATACATACATACATGCATGCATGCATACATACATGCATACATACATACATACATGCATACATATATATATATATGAATATGGATATGTGCACTCGCGTACATGTCTGATAAACCGATAGAGTACACTTACAGCTATAACGTCATGTTCTATGAAAAATTCTCGCATCATCAGTTCATCTTCTGCTTGCCTTCGGCGCTACGAAATGGAAAAGGCGATGTCAGTGGGAAGGTGTGAAGCCATGAAATTCTGTACGATTGCAACAGGGGTAAACGATAAGTTTGTCCGCTTGTCCGGTTTAGTAGAGAAAAATACTACCGCTCCATAGGCAAAGTCGAAAATAAGACAATACTGACTTTCTATCAGCATAACAGATGATTAAAAGTATGATGTGAAATACCTTGGTATAATTTTAACCGATTTTTAAGTACATATGATCTGGTTCGGTGCAGACGAAACCAGATCCAAAAAAATATAAACGGAATATGCTCATATCTGAGCATGCACCGTATAATTAACAATCTGACATCAAGGCACAAGAAGCGTATATTTTTCATCAGGAATTGATTAACATTCCGAATATCCATAGACATATGAATGGGTTGAGTTCAGTACCGGTAAATGTGCAAGTATGTTTGAGAGACGTACAGGGATGCAGCCTATATGACGGGATATGTTTATATCATACATAAAAAATAATGATATAGGCATACCGATAGCAGAAGTACTTACATGAACATTCCCGGGGAGATTTACCGCAGACAACATTAGCTTTGAGTCTAACTTTCCGTTGGTATCCACTTTCCAATTCCTGTCCATTACCTGCGTGCACAGAATATTAAGATTTTGGTAGGAATAAGAATAATTATATATCAGTATATGTATACAAGCGTATTCAACGGTCAATTGTATACGGTACATGCACATATATTACGGTCTAATACATACCACACATGTACGAAGACGAAGAAGAATCCAGGCTACAGCTCAATAGACCTATAAACTATGGACGCGCCAGACCTCAGTGAGTGTGTTTAGTTGATAGCTCAGCTTTAAATCTACATACCGACAACATATAAACGAACTACTGCATACAGAGACGTAGTGTAATGCGCCAGTATGCGGACTGATACACGGACGTTTACGACGAATACAGAAATTAAAATGAAGTCGGACAATGCGCTTGCACTTGTTATTGCATTATACATAC